AGCTGGCTTTTAACTCACCTAATCAGAAAAAGCAGCCAGAAGCATCTCAGTAAAGATGGTGCCTGGTTTGTTTGTTTTTTCATTTAACTTCACGGAGACAGAAAAGGCTGCAGTGAACACGGAGCTTGTACTAGAGTACGAAGGGCCGAGGGACGTTCAAGGCAGAGCTTGCTTGGTGCTTCTAGGAACCCTTTGAAGGCTCCCCACTCACCCTTTTCTCTCTTTGATTCCTAGAAGGTGGATCTGCAAGAAGACGAGCACCCTGGACAGCGGCCAGTCCACAGCGCAGAGCTCAAGCCTGCCCATTTCCACCTCCTTCCCTGGAGGTCGCAGGGAGCAACCGATGCCCAGTGCCTGCCTCCCCTTGCCCTCTCGAGGAGGGTGCCTGCTTTGTGAGGGGACGCGTTTTCTCCTCTTCTCCTTCCTTTGGCAATAAACTCCACCCTGCCCTCTGCGTCCTGGAGGTGGTTTTGTTTTGGGGGGCGGGGAGGGAGCGTGGATGAGCAAGTCTCTGTGGCTGTTCCCTTCCCCTGAGCGAGAAGGTGTTTTTCGCACTAGGATCTCGGGGCTGCCTAAACTCCCGGCCAGCAGCAGGTCTTGCGACATGCCCTGTTTTCCGCTGCTTGCCATGGAGAAGGAACAGACCTTGGATCCCAGAGAAAAAGAAAATTTCCATATATTTTCTCCATTCCATCTTTCACTGCATACCACCATATGCTATTCTCATTGCAACACGGTAGTACTTCCCTGGTTTGTGTGAGTGTGTTGGTGCGTGTGTCTGTTTCCATTGTGTGGAAACAGCTGACAGATCTCAACCAGAGCAGGGTCTCCCATTTCCAGCAGGGCTTCTGGTTTCTCCCTTCCTTTCCAGCATAATTGCAGGGAATTGAAAACTGCTTGGCGGCATTTCTGTATCTGTTCCCCAATCAAGTACACACACACACAAACACACACACTCAGAATCTGGAAACAGCTATAAGTGCAATCTTATCAATATTGTCTCAAGTGAAAAGTGTCGAAACAATACTGAGTTGAATTAACACCTTCCATAGGGTGAAAGTTTTCCCAGGACTGCCTTTTTGGCTGGGTGTTTCCCACTGCTTGTGTGAACCTCAGTAAATCACTGATGGAAAATGTGAAAAGGAAGCGACATAAATGTAAAGAGCATGAGAAACTGGAGGAAGATCAATGGGTATTTAAGCCTCATTAGAGTCTGTGTGTGCGCCTGTTGAGGACACAGAACACTAAACTAATGTATTCTTGAAGGCTTTCATGGACGGGATTCTTCCTAACGTTTTGCCAGTCTCTGCGGCCGGCATCTTCTGAGGACAGGAGTCAGAACTCTGTCTGTGTTCTGGTCTATAATGTTTCTTCGTTCCTTCCTTGTCTTTTCTCGGATTTATTTCCTGGAAATCCTTTTCCTCCTTTGTGGCTCTGCTGGCCCCAGGAACTTCACAAGGACTGACTCTCAAGAGTCCCAAGGTACGTCTCTCCCGTTCCTTGGCAGATCACAAGGGAAGAAGGCCTTAGTGAACCATGATCCTGGGTGAGATACTGACTCACTGGAGCAGGAAGCTGGGACTCCCTAAGCCACCTGGAAGGGTTTCAGCATGGCCTCCTTGATGGGCTGACACCCCTTCAAAGTACCTTCTGGAATTAGCCGGAGAGGGTTATTAGCTTTCCAGCCTTGGGGCCATGGAATTGGCAGCCGGAGATGACACCAACTGAAATGTAGCATAGAAGAAGGAAGAGCACAGATGGAATTTGTTGCACTTTTTTTCAATGGGATAGATGACTGTGGCGTTTGCCCCGTGGCCCCTGCTTGTTTCACCAAACCCAGAGCTCATGAAGGCGTCTCAACACGCCCCTTGACACGCTGCCACCAGTTGATCTCTTTATCAACTTATATTTCTTATGAAAGACTAAGGTCCATCCAGTACTGACTTTTTAACAGAAACAGGTTTGTTGATTACGCGGGGTTTCACTTCTTAAGCACATTCTTAAAGTTACACAAAGCTTCAATATTTTACTTGAATCTCTTCCATATTAATTAATACAGGTCACACTCTGACTAATCACTCCTTCAACACACTCTTTCTCTACCTCAACCCCCCAAAACTATCCTCTTCTCAAGCTCTCTCTGACCAAACTAACCGCCTCAGCACCCCCTTTGGCTCCGCCTCACAACCATGTTAATATACGACTTATGAATAATGCATAACTTAGGGTGAATATCACATTCCTCCCCGCTTAAATATGTTTGTTCAGGAGGGGAAACCTAGCAGTTTGTCCTCATAAACAAACACCTAAGTACATGCAAGTATAACAATAACTTACCAATACTTATGCATACATTATAATATCATTTTCTCTCTATTACTATGTTTACCAAATCAAAATAGACAATACAAACATTCAGACAATCAATATAGTTAAAGCATTTACATTAACTGCATTAATACCAATTACATTGCATCACCTTTGCATCAATAAAGACATACTAACTTCTTGCATTACTTATAACAATACAAATTGCATTACATTACATTACCTCCACCTCAATAAGGCTACGCACCATTATTTTTACCATCGTTCTACACCTCTCAGTTCATTAACATCCAAGCTTGCATTTTAATCTTATTTCATAACTATCCACACAAACAGAACATTCAATAAAACATTACAAACTTTGTTTATCCACCCATTAGTCATTTGGCCTTCGAGGCAAAGTATCAGCATCCATGCTCTGAGTTCCTTTAATGCTATGGATTATAAAGTCAAAGTCTTGCAGGTTCCGTGTCCATCTTGCAAGCTTACTGTTAGTGGATTCCATAGCTTGTAGCCACCCCAGAGGGAAAGGATCGGTGTAAAGGATGAACTTTCCTTCACCAAATGTAGGGTTTCAGTCTTTGCAGCACCCAGACAATTGATAGGCACGCCATCTTGATGGCAGACAAACGTCTCTCACCAGGTCGGGATCTCCTGCTGATCAGAGTCCCTGGGTGTAGACTCCCGCTGTCATCCGCTTGGCACAGCAGAGCTCCCAGACCCACACTTGACAGATCCGTGTATAAGATGAACTCCCGGTCGAAGTCTGGCGCAACCAGGACACTGACCTTTTGGGGGGAATTCTACATTTGTTCATCAGAATTTTCCCTTCTTTGCTAAACTCAGAATTAGGTTTTTCTGAGCGAGGCTTTTATTTTCTGTATATACTCTGACTTCCCAAATTTCTCTTCATTTCTCAGTTTAATTTAGTGTTGGTTGTCATGAGTTTTTCAGGCTCTCTGGCCGTGTTTTGAAGGTTGTCTTAAATACTCAAGTCTCCAAACAAACTGCACCACAGCACAGACAGAATTCCTACTCCTGTCCTCTGAAGATGCTGGCCACAGAGACCGGCAAAACATTGGGAAGAACAACCTTCAGAACACGGCCAAAGAGCCCGAAAAACCTACAACCACCAAACATTATGTATTAAAGGAAAAATGCAATGACCTTGTCGGTAGGTCCCCTTGTTTAGTGAAACGAAGATTATTCCACTCTGGCTACCCTGAAAGATAACAGGAAGAGCCAGGGGTGTTACTCCGTCCAGCTGAATCCCAAGGTCCATGCCTCCCCGTCAGAAAGGGGAGCATGTCCTTCCTCTCAGGGGGAAAGAAGGCGGGCAGTCCTGGCATGAGAGAGTCCACCAGAAGGGGGCAAAGCAGCCTGCCAGACAGAGAGCTGAAGCAAAAAGCCCAAGAATTTTCAACTGTGACCCACCTTCTTTGAATTCCAATTCCTCTGGCTTCTGCTTTTCAGCATTAGCTACAACAGACCGGTTTGCTTCCTCTCTTTATTCATTTTGTAAAACTTGTGTTTTCTTAGTTCCAGTTCTTTCCAGCAGTTGCTGGGTGGAACCAGTTCATTTCCTCTGGTTACCCAGCTGCTAAGTTTACAAGGTTCTCTGTTTACCTTTAGCTGTGTTCCACATGCTACTTACTTACTTACTTACTTACTTACTTACTTACTTA